CTTTCTATGAAGCCACAATTAGCTATAGGGAGGATTTGGATCTTCCTGATTTAGTGTAATAAGGTTTACTTGTTACTATAAGCAATTAATTATAATGATTATAGATGATCTGGCCACGTGTTCAGAATATCTTTTACTAAATAGTCAGCAAACAAATACATTAGAAATGTTAAAAAAACAAAGTCAGATAACGAACTGAAAAAAAATAAAAAATGAATCAAGTGAAGAAGACTCAGATAAAGAAATTGATTATATGAATTATTCTAATTGTTCATTTATTCGAATTATTCTAATTATTAGTTTATTTGAATTATTCTAATTGTAATTATTAGTTTATTCTAATTGTAATTATTCATTTATTTGAATTATTCTAATTGTTCGTTTACTCGTTTGATTCATTTTCATTTTATTTGTTTTATTCATTTTATTCGTTTGTTCAAATTATTCTTTTATTTGAATTATTTGTTTATTTGAATTATTTATTTATTTCGAATCATTCATTTTATTTGAATCGTTTGTTTTACTCGTTTTATTTTTTATTTATTCAAATTATATATTTGCTTTATTCGTTTATTCAAATTATTTGTTTATTTGAGTAAAAATTTATTCGAATAAACTTTCAATGTCCATCAAATAAAGGAAGGAAGGAATTTTAAAAAAATAAATATAGTGTTTTTGATGTGTAAAATGTTTACATTTTCTTTGTTATGATGTATGTCATAAGAATCAACCAAGCTGGAACATATGCAAATTATATGGATAAAAAATCATTTGGGACGTTTACCCTTTGTGAGTAAAGTTTCATCATTATTGGGTTAGTAATTTCTTCGAGTAGTTGCTTTCTATCTTCATATTGATATCTTTCTGCTTCTTGATTATTGTTAAACCATCTGATTGAATGTTGGATTGCATCTTCAAGTTTCTTTTTATCATCTGGATCAATCTTGATTGAAATTTCTTTATCCTAAATTATTATTAATATTAGTGAATTGATCATTTTTAGTAAATTGTTTGATAAATTATTTAAATATTATTTACCTGAAATGTGTTATGTAAATTATATGCATAACTTTCCAATTCATTACGTGCTGTTATTCTTCGAGCCTCTTTTTCATCATCTGCATGGTATCTTTCAGCATCAGCAACTAAATTAATTGGTTGATTAACAAAATATTTATATTATTTAGTTTAAAAACTAAGTTTATTATTATTCACTCAAATTGATTGCTTACCCATTTTTTCAATTTCTTCTTTTGATAATCTCCCTTTATCATTAGTAATTTTGATCTTATTGGATCTGCCTGTAGTTTTATCAACAGCAGACACCTAATTTATTCAAAAAAATATATTTAATAAATAAATCTAATTGAAATAGATGTGCTACATACATCAAGAATACCATTGGCATTAATATCAAAAGTGACTTCAATTTGAGGTACACCACATGGAGCTGGTGGAATACCAGTTAATACAAATTCACCCAATAAATAGTTATCTTTGGTATGAATACATTCACCTTCATACACTTTAATAGTAATTTCTTTTTGATTATCAGCAGAGGTAGAAGTTATTTCTGATTTTTTGGTTGGAATGAGGGTATTACGTTTGACAAGAGGTGTCATCATACCACCTGTTGTTTCAATACCAAGTGAAAGTGGTACAACATCAAGTAAAAGAAGATCTTGTGTTTTCTCAGATGTGTCACCAGTCAAAATGGCTGCTTGAACAGCTGCACCATATGCAACAGCTTCATCGGGATTTATGGACTTGTTGAGTTCTTTGCCGTTAAAAAAGTCTGATAATAATTTTTGAATTTTTGGAATACGAGTAGATCCACCAACCAACACAATATCATGTACTTGGGTTTTATCAATTTTTGAATCACGAAGCACCTTTTCAACTGGTTCCATGATGGAACAGAACAAATCTTGATTCAATTCTTCAAACCTGGCACGAGTTATAGATGTGTAGAAATCAATGCCTTCAAAAAGTGAATCAATCTCAATGGATGTTTGTGCTGATGCTGAAAGTGCACGTTTGGCACGTTCACAAGCTGTCCTGAGACGGCAAAGTGCTCTGGCATTTGTGGTGAGATCGTTTTTGAATTTACGTTTGAATTCCTGAACAAAATGATTTACTAGACGATTATTAAGATCTTCACCACCAAGATGGGCGTCACCAGCAGTGGCCCTGACTTCAAAAACACCATGTTCAATTGCCAACAATGAGACATTACAGGTACCTCCACCCCAATCAAAAACCAACGCAATATGTTCCCCTATTGTTTTATTATCCAAACCATATGCAATAGCAGCAGCTGTGGGTTCATTGATTATACGAAGCACATTCAACCCAGAAATTATGCCAGCATCTTTTGTTGATTGACGTTGAGAATCATTGAAATAGGAAGGCACTGTAACAACTGCATTTGTTACTTTTGTACCAAGAAAAGTTTCAGCGGTTTCCCTCATTTTTGTTAATACCATTGATGAAATTTCTTCTGGAGTAAATTGTTTAATTTCACCTTTATATTCAACTTGGATATATGGTTTAGTATTTTTATCAATAACTTTGAATGGCCAATGCTATATGTAATAATTAGAAAGAGGAGAGAAGAAGTAGGGGATTAATGTGAAATTAGAAACAATCATGATAATAATTGTTAAATAATATACCTTCATATCAGATTGAACTACTGGTTCATTGAAACGACGACCAATAAGACGTTTAGCATCAAAAACAGTATTATATGGATTCATAGCAACTTGATTTTTTGCAGTGTCACCAATTAAACGTCCAGTATCAGTGAATGATACATATGAAGGTGTTGTACGGTTACCCTGGTCATTGGCAATAATTTCAACTCTATCATTTTGCCATACACCAACACAAGAATAGACAGTTCCCAAGTCAATGCCAACTATACATATTAATGTTTATGCCAAATATATTATGAAAGAAATAATAAAAATTATATATATATTAAATAAATTAAAATTAATAAATCATTGCCTGCTTGTCCTTCTGTCATCTTTTTTAATAAAAATAAACATTTATTTGTTTATTATTTGAATGAACCGGTCAAATTATATATGATCGGCGTCACAAAAATGTTAATGATGATAGTGGTGGCGATACATTACTGTAAATGCATTGTGCCGTAGTTCTACAAGACTTTTGTATGTGAGAAATAGTGATTTGTGTGGTAAAAGGTATAGTGAAATTTCTGTTTGGCCGACTCTATCACCAAAATATGGAAGAATGGAGAGAGGATAAGGTATTTATTTAACATTATAAAAATTTTATTTATTGTTGTCATTATTTTTGACATTTTCTAAGATTGTTCATCATTACTCTATTTTCTGGTGGAGTTGGATTCCTCTATTCTTTATGCTGATAATTTTCTCAAACTTTCTGCATATTATGTAATCCAATTTGCGATTGTTGCCACTTGGTGAATGTTCTCAGCTTAAGTTTCACCTTCATTAGCTAAAAATTGAAGTTGACTCACCATTTCCTTTGCTGTCATCTGATCAGTTTTGTTTATATTACCTGCTAAAAGTTACCCCTCAAAATAAGATTTTACTTTCTTGGTCATGCTTTTTCCTCCTCCTCTTATTCCATATTTTTGCTTGTTTTTCAATGCCATCCATTTTCTAATTCAAAAAAATCCTTCAGCATCTATATTTGTGGAAAGAAAAAAATTTATCCATATAATAAATAACAATAAATATGCAATAAATATATCTGACTGGTTATTTGATTTATCATTTTATCTACATCTATAAAATCAAATGATATACTCCATGGGTTTTCAGGGATTGTATTAGCATTAGGCTCGTAACCCTAAAACCATTTTGACGAATGTAAAACCCTAATAAATGATAGTCTCGATTGCATTATTTTTTATTATGTTTTTATTATACAATACAAAATATTACGACTCTCTAAATAAAATATGACCTTCCAATTAACAACAAAATTTTAAAAAATTATATTACAATTAAATTGGACTTAAAATTTTCATCTTCACTCATTACTAATACTGATAAATCAATTACCATTATCGGATAATAAATTCTCTTGTAATTCGAATGAGGTTATTTGAGTATATAAAATATGAATGAAAAATTCGTAGCATCTAAATTCGGCTTGTCTCCTGACGGTATGTATGGTAATAGATGCTAAACTTAGATCGGGATTTAAGTAATATATTAGATATGTAAATCCTGTAGATAAAAATGATTCGAACTAAAATGGTGACCAAAAGGTGGCTTGCACACTTAATTCCGAATTTTCTTATTCTACTCGAAAGGATTGGAGGAAAATTTGATAGACCATTAAGCTCTGCGGATAGAGAGAGCAAGTTTTCCGAAGATCAATTATAACCATAACAGTATCAGCTATAAAACACATTCCGCCTTGGTTTATTGGACGATCCATGGATGATGACCTTGTAAAGAAAACCAATCCATGATTTAAGATTCCATGTTTTAAAGTTCAAATAAGGGATTGTTTTTTTATAGGGTGATGGGCTTCAAAATTTATAAAGCCAAAGTTATTGTTGGTATGCCTGATTGTTGATTAGAACAATTCTCAAAAGGATTAAGAGTTGTTTGAATAAAATTATTGTGTTCCTGTTAGTGTCTCTTACAGAGGTAATAGCCCAGACTCAGATACTAATGCTGATTAAGTTCCGATTCAGATTCAGGTTCTGCTTGATTTTAAAATTAACATATTGAAAAAAATAATTATGAAGTGAGTAAAAAGACTCATTGCTCCAAAATCGTAGGAGCGCCATTTTTTTATGTCTATGAAATTCATTAGTTAAATACCTATTTCGAGTTTCTTGATGACACTTTTCGCAGAATGCTTCACCAAGTTTTATTAGTAGTAGACATCTATGACACAATGAATTATTGTACTGATTCTTCCAAATAAATGGGGATTCATAGGATATAAATGACCCTAATGTTCCTTTTGATCCATTCTTCAACCCCTGCCATTGGATGTTCTGTTCGGATTTCCTCTTCCGCTCGAATACTGGGTTCGGTTCAATCAATTAATTGTTGACTCATAGTACATACCATCACCCAAAAATCAATATCCCAATACATGTACCTTAAAAAAATTAATCCGATACCTCACTGATCTTTACATATAAGGTGGATACCGGGATATCGATTTTTTAAGGTATCAAGCAAATATAAGATAGACTGATATGTGCATAACAATTGTTAAAAGCTTAATGCAATCTGACTTATGAAATATTACTTATAATTATCCGTAGTGTTAACATACTGTATATAATACTATTCAACAAGGTATCGGACGAACTTTTTTTGCTACCGGAAATCTGATACCTCAATGTGGTTATCGATGGCTTTCTTTATATTCTTTTGAATATTAATTTTATAATAATAGCTAAACATATTTATCCAATACTCAATATAAACTTTTTTAATACTAATAATACATATGAAATATAAATAATAATTTAATGTTTAAAAATTTAATTTTCTTCTTTCTCCTCCACTTCTCTATCTTCACAATTCCCTTGAACTCTTCCCAAAATGGCATTGATAATAGCAGCAGTCATTGCTTGAGCCTATGTGCTTGATTCGTCCACTTCTTCTATTTCCAATTCGTATGTTGAAGAAATCTGGACAATGCTCATACTGATGCCTCCTTTTGATTTTCACATCAGAAAGTTGTTCTCCTACTCTACGAAAGATCTTTCTAATCTATGTTAATGAAACCAATTAATAAACATTTAACAAAACTTAATTATAATGATTGTTTCGGCACAATTTGTTGTGATACGTTATTTCAGCTCAAGAATGAGTGAAATTAGGCTGCAATGAATAAATAAATATGAAACTTTAAACATGCAAAGGTTTAAATTTTGAAATTTACACGTACTCTGAGTAATTTATATTCTTCAAGAGTCAATTTTTCAAGAATTGCTCTTTTGCCTTTCTGATATCCTGAAATGGGTTCCGGCAAAATTGAAGGTCGGATAACAAGGTCAGGACTAACCAACCGAGTTTTACCAGGAGTGATACCACTCTTGCCAAAGTTCTCTAACTTCGTTTAAAAGGAAGCTTAAAACTTCAGCTACCTCAACACTTCTGCTGTAAATTGATCGTGACTTGTTATTCTGGTAGGTGAATATGATCTTTGAGCTGGCGAAACTGCTCTTCTGTGATCCTGAGTTGGTGAATTCATTCCTCTAGTAAATGGACGTTGTCTTTGAGTTGGTGAAGTTAGAGAATGTGCTCTGCTGGCAGGGGGTGGATTGCAAGATGGAGTTCTATCTAGTGAAATTGTAATTTTTGGAATACAGAAAGATTTTTTTCCACGCATATTTCGAGAAAATATATTAATTGTTAGAATATCAAATTCGTTTAAACACGAATTTTAAATTTCTTATGTGTCCCATAGATTTGTTGGACGAAGTTTAACTATATTTTATTGAAAAAGGTAAAAATATCTTCTTATATAGCTTTTGGGCATATTGTTAGATTAATATTGCAACATTTTTTTTTTTACAATACCTAATTTATTCGAACAATTAAACTTTTTGGTTTAATTATATGGATTTTAACAATAATATTTATACCATGAGCCTTTCGGTTAATAAGAATTACAGCCATGTATTCCAACTTTGATACTTCCAGAAACAAAACATCCTAATATATTATGAACATTATTTATTATAAAATACCGGCCAAGTTCATAAAATTCTTTTTTCTAACATCTTATACATGTCTCAATATTTGGTGTATAATAACTGCGCCTACATTTTAAAGATCTCTTGTGTGACTCGACAATAACAACAAGTTTATTATTGTTATCAACTTCCAAAAATATCAGCCAGATAAGCCTCTAGGAGAGGACATGTGAGTGGCATCACGCAGGTTTAAACAAATTTCAGTTTACCTTTTAAGATCAGTCAGTAAAAAAATTCCTTGATAATAATATGTGCAATGCAATGTTATCACTAATCCACCAATACAAGTTCCGGGCCAACTAGGTAAGAAAATCTTTCCAGTTTGCTTGATCTTTGACTTGTTATTGATTTTCCAATATTTTTAATATTTTCACATCCTATATTCCTCACCAGATCCAGATAGAAACAGAAGTTATGTCGCACCGTACATTGTAGTTTACCCGAGCAAGATGCTTATCACTAGACCTCCAAGAGATACAAGGGTACTTGGGTTTGGTATGTATTACCATGTTTGTTTTGTATGCAATTTTCTGATAATTAATATGGCTTATATAGGGAAATCCACATGCAAGAATAATATGTGAAATTGCTGTATCCTAAAATATTGCCGGCTAGAAGAGAAAAGATGTCCATTGAACGAGACATTCATATATGTAAGAACTACATGAAATAGGCAAAGGAAAATTTAATCAAGCAATGAAGGTATATTATATCTTTTAACTGCCCTATTATTTTATAGATTATTATAAAAATATTAGGCGAAACTATGGAGAGAGGGAATGCCAACTCAAAAAATAGGGTTAAAATTGTCGAGAGATTCTATTTCTTTGTAATAATGTCATCTTGCAATCGTAACAATGATCATTACTCAATGTACATACTTTTTCGAATCAATAACTCATTTTATGTCAAATACACTATCCACCAATTTTATCTTTGATTACAAAAAGATGATAACTTTAATATTTTAGAATGGTGGAAAGATCATCAATAGATTTATCCAAGACTTTCAAGATTCACTACCTATTATCTTTCAATTCCATGTTCCGGTGCGTCCAGTGAAAGAAAATTTAATGCAACTAGACTTACAGTTAATGAACTTTGCTCAATTTAAATACACAAACAATTGACAGTATTCTTGTATTAAGGAGCTTGTTATAGTGAATTTTTTTTCTTGTAATTCTATTCAACATCATTTAATAAAAAAAATTTTTTTATAAGTTTTGGATTGAAATTTTTTGTGCACAAGTCGGGTTCGGGCTGAGATTTTTATAATTTTTATGTGCACAAGTTGGTTGCAGGTTGGGTTCAGATTGCAAATTATAAATTTATATGGGTTCGGGTCAGGTATTCATTAAATTATGGTGACCCGTGTAGGGCTTTAATATGTTTCATTGCCTCCGAAATCACTAATATTGAACAAAATTCAGCAAACAATTTTAGAAAATCAGTCAATATGTAGCGGGTATAATGTTACTTTGTTTTTTTTTGTTATACAGTAAATCAAATTATTATAATTCGGTTACTTTAAACCCTATTCCTTCACATTCTATGATATTCTTCTCACTCCCTTCTTCTTCACCAGCTTCATCATTATTAGAAGTTACTCTTGTGATTTTAAATTTTACACCTACCATAATTTCGGAATAATGCATAACTGTAGAAGTGTGTAAACTTATTGGACCTGTTAAAATTTTAGATTTTCCTTCTGCCAATGCCATAAATATTATCAATTGGTCTTGTAAATATCTAATAAAAATTAAATATAATTTGATCGATTATAACATATAATGATATTAAATGAAATATAATAATAAGTACATACTCATCTACACATCCTCCATGTCTCAAATTTTTAATTAATTCTTCTGCAGCATTTTTTCCCAAATCTTCAGCAGTTAATTCTTTAAAAAAAAAATATATATATATTATAATGTTATTGAGAGTTTCTATTTTTAAAAATTGAATCAAAAATTTTAATATTAGTCATTAACTACAGTCAACTCTCTCTTTAATATAAAACTGCTCTTGAGGGAGTGCACTTGGAGAGGATCAACTGCATTGTATATTATTTACTTTTATCAATTACTGCATTTCCACTTATAATACATCCTGTGTTTGTTATTGCCCATAACCTTGGTAAAAGAAATTGATTAATTTAATATAAACATAAATAAAAATATATACACTCCAAAAACCTACACTATGTCAAAACCTTCACCAGATGAAATTTTTGCATGATTAATTTCAATATCAGGTTTGATATTGTTTAACTCTGGTAAATCTGAATTATTTACAATCACTTTTGATGCAGCTGAAATTATTTGTTGTGCAATCTAAAAATAAATTAAAATAAAATAAGATGATATTTTGGTTTATAAAATTGTAAAATGTGTATATATATATTACTTGATTTGGTACTTTTGCTATTGTAACTATTCTTTTTTTAAAAAACATATTCAAGAGTTAGGATATTAGAAAAGGATCGGATTGAGTAATGTATTAAGCAAAGATACTTTTTAAATACCCTTTAATTTGAATTACAGTTCCCCGTTCAATCAAACTAATTGGAGTAAAAGCTTTAACAACTAATGGATCAACTCTTAAAACAATTTCACCACCACCTTTAGGATAATAACTATGTTAAATAATTTATTATTATTATTATTATTATTATTATTATTATTGTCATTGTAATTGTTATTGTATGAAAAAAAACCAATCTCTCTCCCATATATATTTTATTATCACATACCCATGATTTGTTATACTAATATTAAAATCAAAATTAAATCCATTTGTAACAATCGGTTTGAAAACTTGCAAGAAAAAATTAATTGGAGGTGCTGATCGAACAGCAGTGCCACCTTTTATAATGACTTTCTTTGACTTAGGTGGTAATGCTAAAATAGATGATGGTGAGGCAGAAAAGATTAATGGGATCAAAACTGTTTGAACCAGTAATGTGACACTCCTATAAAAAACACAAAAGTTGTAGAGGTACAAGTTTAGATGAAGGATTAAATTGAAGATTAATATAAATTAATATTAAAAATATATATATATATATTTATATATATGCACCCAGCTGTTTTTATATCTGCAAAAAAAGTATTCTTTTCTTTTAAAATTTCTTTTGGATAAAAAGTAAATTCTTGAGATCTAATCTTTTTTTAAAAAAAAAAAGAATTTTATTATGTTTTTTTAGTAATTATAAATTTTGATTTAAAATATAAATTTTACCTGACCTCCTTGCAAATCTCCTTGATAAATTTCATTCAAAAGTTTAAGAGAAGTTAAATGTTGTTGTTTCAATCCTAATCAATCAATCAATCATCAATAATTAATAATTAATAATAATTAATAATAATTAATAATAATAAATATAACAACAAAAACCTGGCTGATCTCGTCTTAATCTAACATTAAACATTCTTATTGGCTTTTTTAATAGACAACTTGAAAAAAATAAAATTATTTAACTATGATTAATTTTTAATTTCACAAAAAGAAATTAGATTATTATTATCGCGTGTATGTAGTATACAGTTGTTATTATGATGATAATAATGTTTTACCTATATGCTACACAATTTCGAATAACTAAAGAAAAATGAATAAATGAGAATTAATTAATTGTTTGCAAAAAAAAAAAATAATTATTTCATTTACCTTGACCTCCACCTTCTAAAATACTTCCATCGAGTGTAACTAGTTCTGAACTATTACTACTACTATTGTTATTATTCATATTTTATTTAATTAATACTAATAATATAAGGATGTTTTTTATGCAACTTCTTTCCTTATGCCTAAATTTTGCTTTATAGCTTTAATGTGATAGATATTTTCTCAAAAAAATTATTTATTGTAGTGCTATTCTTTTTTAGTACATGTACACGTATTTTTACCATATTTATAAAACTTGTTTTTGTGAATTTCATATTTTAAAAATCAAAAACCAAGCCTCGCGTGCTAAAAGTAAAGGTTGTTTTACTCTCAAAAATTAATTCGTATATACAGTATATATTTTAGACATAGATAATAGATAATAAAGACCAATTAAGAAAATTCGTTGAATCGAGCACATTTTTATGTTTTTAGAAAAACTAGTGCGATGACCAATAAAAGAGAATAATATAGAAAAATTATTGATATATTTAAACACCGACATCTGAAAGATTGTGCGGTTTTTTATAAAATAAAATAGTGTATTACTGTCATTAACGGACTACCGGATTGTAATGAGGAGACATCTAAAATTCGTTATTATTATAACAAAAAACAAATAATCGCGTTTCAACGAATTTTAAAAATTTTAAAAATTCCTTGTAATGCGAATTTGACCATATATAATTCGTTGAAACATAATGTTAATATTAATTTAAATTTTTTAAAAATCATCATTTTGTTATTCGCACCACAACGACTTTGAAATTATCTTTGACCAAATCATTTCGACAATATATTATTATCCAAAATTATTACGACTTTATGTGTAGACTTGACTATTTTTCTTCATCCTTTACAACAAACGCTAGTAATTCATGCAGTATATTTCCAAGATTAAATAGTGATGGTGATGATGGTATCAAGTTTAAATTGTCTTTCTTCATAAATGGATGAAGAATAC